AGAGATTCAATTTTTCGAGCTTTAGTCCGGTTATGGCGTCTGGAATCGGACCAGAAAACATGTTATCAGCAAGATCGAGCTGCTGGAGACCATGAAACCCTAGGATGCAATCGGGGAAATTGCCGGTGAACAAATTCTGCCCTAAATCGAGAGACTTCAAGTTTTTGCAAGAGGTAACCTGAGGCAGAGCAGGGTTGGGAACTGTACCGGAGAGAGAGTTTCCGTGTAACTGGAGAGATTCTAGGCCGGCGCCACATAGATTCCAGATTGAAGCCGGCAAAGGGCCTTTGAGCTGATTATGGCTCAAATCGATGTCCGATAACGATGAACTGTAGCCGAGCTCTAAGGGGATGGGACCAGACAAGGCGTTCACGCCGAGGTACAGGCTCTGCAAATTGGCGAGCTGCCCGATTTCTTTTGGGATTGTTCCGGTGAGATTGGCGGAGGGGAGCTGGAGAGAAATAAGCTGCAAATAGGGGCTTCTGTGCAAATAAATGTTGGTCCACTGGGGGGAGGAGGGGCCGTCGCACGGCGGCGGAGACGAGGCGTTTTCTCCGGCGAGGGCCCATTTGAGGCCGCGCCACTGGCAGAGGGGGAGGGAGGTGTTCCAGGAGGAGAGGAGTAGGTTCTCTGCGGTTCCCTGCAGTGAGGGCTTGATTTTCTGGAGGAGAAGGTCGACGTCTGAGGCGGAGTGGGTTAGAGAGAGAAAGAGGGAAATGCAGAGGGGGAGGAGCTTCAGGGCCGCCATGGATGAATTGAGGGGAGGAAGGAATGAAGAGAGAGTGGAACTGAGCTTAAAANTAAAAAAAAAAAAAAAACTGATTTTGAAATGAGGAAAAGAATAATAGTTTATGGGGAAAGCTGACTGTATGTTGACTGCGTATGAGTGGTTACCTTACGGCCCATACCAACAGTTACTATTTTCTTACTACATTTTTTTATATTAATAGATTGATTTTTATTTTAATTTTTTTAAATAGCAATAGCAAAAAGGAAAAAGGAAAAGTTTGGTGGTGTTAAAATTATTTAGTATTATTTGGTCTTTAATGATGTTGGTGAGCACTGACAGACGGGCCTGTGCTTTATTATTAGCTTTGTTTGCTCGCCTGCATTCATACTTCATTCTCTATTCTCTCTCTCTCTTTTCTTTTTTAGCATTTTCATAATCAGATTTAGATGTTTTTATGTTTGAGGACAGAATGATAAAAAGGAAATTTCTGTCATACCTTTCTTAAAGGCGTTCCACCAATGTCCCCTGTTATTTCACGGTTATATAGTGGTGCTTGAATATATCTCGAATTATACAATTTTAGTGATGAAGCTGTCAATTTCACTATGTTGATTATTAATAATTTAGTGTTGTCCGAAATATAGTTGTTAGTTTCATACTGTGTGTGAGATTGTACGGAGTTGGACCACAACAAATTTTGGTTGATACAAACATTCAGTTAGTCATATATATCGATTTTTCCAAAAGCATTGTCTAATAATCCATAAACTGAATCAAAGAGGCCTTTCGAAAATTGCATCAATATCTAGGAGTATATTAAATTTGACATTATTATTAATATATTATTATTATTGTCATAACAATCCAAATCATATTTATACACCATACATATATGTGGTTTTAGATTTGACATGACATTGCTTGAGTGCTTGACAACATAGGCCAATCAATGGAATGGGAGGTATCATGGTACAATTTTTCTTTTTCTTTTTTTTTTTTCCCAAAAACAGTAACATATCACATTATTTTTTAAAGTGCATACCTACACACAATATTGTACATCTAATTTGTCATTATTGTACAAAAATTAATCTTCATTAAATTATAAATTGTCATCTATAAATAAAAATATGTATGTGTTAAAAGTTTAGAAATTGCGAAATAGTCCCCTAAACATATCTAATTTCCCAAAACAAACTCCAGTCCCAAAAAATGCCATACTGTCACTCATCTTCAGTCACCGCCCTCATCACCAAACGACGCTAGACACTCGACGCCGTCCTCAACCCAAAAATTAAAATAAAAAACAAAAAACAGAACAACAATTTAATCCAAATCACAGATCGTCGACGCCGTCCATTCTCCTTCGTCGTTCTCCCGCATACGCCATCTTTCGTCAGCCGACGTCCTGCCCCTACCGACACCATCACCCAAACACACACACACGAGGTATATATTTCAGTCGGCGGAATGATTTGGCTTGGCAGCGACGATGGCATGGAGGACGAGGCTAGGTTCCGTCGGAGCATTATGGGTCACAGCCATCTCTGGTGACGGGAAACAGAAGCTCGACGATTCAACTAGTAACGACAGACGGCGGTTGATGGCGGGATGTCGTGACTTGGCAACTGCAACTGAGGCATGGACATGGTTGGTGTCGGCGGCGACGGGAGNAATAGAATTTAATAAAACCTATTTAATTTTACCTATGTGGCAATTTAACAATTTTCCCTCCAAAAACCGTTACATTTTGATGTATTTAATTTTTCATTTAATCATTAAATAATTAATACTCATCACTTCAAAATTACAAAAATCATTTTCAACTTTTGACTAATGACAGTTGACCATATAATGTGTTGACCGTATAATGTGATTAGATGTTATTATTGTTGTTACATTTAATTTTTTTTTTGAAAATAAAAAATATATTTGAAATTCCTAAATAAATAATAAATAATTCACAAATAAAAGACGTACCAAAATATACATTACATCCAATCAGATAAACGCAATTTTTTAAAAAAAAATATTCCAACTCTTTTAATTGTAAATTTAGTCTGCAAAAAAGTGAAAGAAAAATAATTAATCATTATCTGTACAGACTCACAATAATTTATTTATATCTGTGCAAATGCACATGTCGAATACTAGTTAGGGTTACGTTTGGGGGGGTCCAACTGGATGAGTTGGCATTCTTTATAATGACCAATCTACCCATAATTAGTGGTCAAATGCGAATATTTGACCACATTATTATATCTTATTTATAAGAATACCACCCATGTTTGACAATGATAGCCACTTATTAAAATTTGATTTGATCATGACCATTAATTTGATGTATCCAATGGTCCAGAATCATTCTTATTGCTTTCACTATCTTACTTTATCGGTATGTTTGACATGAATTTGTTTTAAGAAATTGGCACTTTACTTATTAATTACCTTAACACTCATTTGATATTTAGTTATGTATAAATGCAGCTCTTGAAATAGTATATGCTAATTTGAGAAAAGAGAAATAATTTAGGATGCACTAATACCATTGTTATTCTTGAGATTAAAGAAAATTCTCTCAACAACTATTTTTTTACACCGAAAAATGTAGGCTTAACTATCAATTCCTGTCTCAAAATGTTGAGAATACGATGTGATAAATAACATGTTTACCAAAGGAATAAAACAACTGGAACATGAAGTTACACATCATATTAATTTTGTTTACATAACTTTTTATTATTTCTTTTTATATAATTGAGGCAAGATTACGTTGGTCTTTTTGAACAAACATGATCGTTCAACAACATTGGTTTAATTATTTATTTCATTTGTTTTATTTATTTATTTTATTTATTTTAATATTTATTAAGGAAATTCTAGATCTGTTAGGAAATTTATTTATTTTATTAGTCATTTAGCTATTGGGCAAGATATTTACAAGTTCTATTTAAAGACTTCTTCTCTACTGCTATGAGGGAGTTGAGTTTTTATTGAAATAAAATATACTGATAGTTTTCTCTTGATTCTCCTAATTGTTTACGCTTTCGCTACGTCAGTTGGTACCAGAAGATCAGTACGTTTCCTACACGACGACTCGCAAACGGAATAATGCTACTGACAACAGGCGTGACGCCATATGAATAACGCTACTGACCAGTACGTTCTCGAATGAGAAGAGGTCAACCGAATATTCAGGTCCGTCTCTTTTTGAAGATGAGGGGTTGATCGAATATGAGGGTCCGTCTCTTTTTGATGACCAGGTGTCGACAACATATGAGCATCCACCGAATATGAGGGTTCGCCTGTTTCTGAGGCCGAGGTTATCAACACTATGCTGTAATATATGAGCTTTTTGTGTTCTTGTTGTAGTAGTATGTGGTTTACTTTCTCCTTTTATCTTTATTTTTTATTCTTTTTATTTTTGTGGTCATTTTTAATTTCTTGTTGACAGCAGTGTTCTAAAAGTCGCTAGACGCCCGCTAGGCGCTCGACCAGTGCCTAGCGCCTAAAGCGTCTAGTCGGGGCCTAGGCGACGCCTAGTCGGGGCCCAGAAATCAATAGTAAATACCTTATTTTTTATTTATTTTAACTACCTACAAAATAAAATTATCTCAACATATAATAAATTCACACACCAAAGTCCAAATAATAATATTAATATATATTAAAGAAAACATGAGAACAAAATAATGTAATTATTATTTAAAAAAAAAAAAAAAAATTAAAAATAAATTAAAAAATTGCCGCCGAGCCCGCCTAGGAGCGCCTAAGTCCGCCTACGCCCGCCTAGACGCCGTCTAACCGCCTGGCCGCCGAGCCCGCCAAGGCCGCCTAGGAGCGCCTAAGGCCGCCTAGGCGCCGCCTAGCCGCCTGGCCGATTTTTTTTGCCGATTTGTACAAATCGGAGGCGCCCGGGCACCGCCTAGCGCCTAGGCCGATTTTTAGAACAATGGTTGACAGGAACATTCATTGATTTTGGTTACTTTTTCCAGGCATATGGAATTCCTAAGCCTGTGAGATAAAGTGATATTGATAAAAACAGACAACCATTAGATCTTCTATTTTGAAGCAAAACACAAACTTCCATTAATAATATCGATCAAACTAGCCAACTAATCTCATGGACAATGGTGAAAGTATATCCAACCAACATATTAGTTTAATTGTTCTTTCGATTGGTTACACAATGAAGGAGAAAAATCTTTTTGCAACTTTCAACCAATAAACTTCTTCTTTTGCACAAAATAAAAAAGTGTACTCTTAAATTCGACAAAGTATAACTACACATCACAAGAAATGATAGTGTCATTCTATTATCACTTGCCTTTTTTTAACAAACATAAATATAAAATATACATTGGGTGATTATCGAAAATTAGAAGAAAAAGGCAAAGGAAAATACGAATGAGTTAACAGAGATAAAGTAATAAGACCCACAAGACCATGGATGCATCATCAGCACATCACTATCTGCTCCTAACAAAACTAGATTCTAGCGCCTCTTTTTCTCAGGGCCCAAAATCATTATTCCTAAATTTAAAAAAAAAAAATTAAAAATCTATCTTCAATGAAATTTAAATACAACATGTAGAATTTATTTAATAAATAAAGTGGGTGTTCATTTGTGAGAGTGAATGGTAGTTTTAGCCTCTCCAGCGGCGTTTTTAGCAGAGTCGGCGGCGGCCTCCGCCTTGCCAACCACCGTGTCTTTGATGTTGTGCGCGGTGTCTTTAACGGTCCCCCACGCGTCCTGCGCTGTCTGCTTCACTTTTTCGGCGGCGTCAGCCGCCGTCTGCTTGGCTTTGCCGGCGGCCTCCTGGGCGGTTCCCGGCACCTTCCCGGCAATGTCCTCTATTTTCTCGCCGGCCTATTTATTGTTTGTTTGGTCAAACATTATTGCATAGTTACGTGCGGAACCAAAAAATAAAACCACAAAACTATTTTTCTGAATTTTTTTGTCAAATAGTAAAGTGAAAAATATTACTTTTAGAAAAGGTAAATTTTTTTGGATTTATAAAATATAAATATAATGTTATTAGGTGATTGTGATGGTATTCGCACCTAGGCATCGTCTAGGCACTCATATATTTTATTTATCAAATTTTATTATTTACACATGAAATTAAATAAAATCAAATTCAATTTTCACACATGAAATTTATAATAACTCTACTAAAAGTACTAATAATTATTCACAATTAATACAAAACTTATGAAGCATTAGATTTTGCATAATCTTTGTATTCGATCATATTAATTAGTATATTTTATATAATGTATCTTATACAATATGAAAGATGACAATATAAATAAATTTATTAATATTTAATTACTCCGCCTAAGCACCTTAGGCCCCAGTCCACTGTCTAACAAACGCTTACGACTTTTGAATTGTTTGTAAGTTAAAATTGCTTTTTTAGACTATAGAAAAGCTCTAACCCAAATCTTTTCCACTAAAAGGTACAATAATACTAGTAAGCACAACTAAATGTAACATGTGGATACTCATCAGTAATTAAAAGATTTTTTTTTTTTTTCAATAATAACCCTCATTAATGAAGATGGAGATGGATGTTTTGAGAAAAGATGAAGAGTGAATATGAAAAAATATGTATACAAAATGTCCCAAACGTCATTTATTTGATTAACTGTTGATAAAGTCAAAATGACATTTAAAAAAAAACAAAAGGTAGTATTTTCTCTACTTAAGAATTCCACCTTAATTGATTCCACCAACGTTTCTTCCATTATAACATCAATGATAGAGCTATATATATAACAAAATTAATCAAATTTCTTTTGACTTTATTATTATTATTATTATTATTATTATTATTGTTATTATTATTATTTACTTACATTATTCATGGCTGAGGCAGCCTCTTTCTTCACTTGCTGGCCACCCTTCTTGGCGGCATCTACGCCTTTCTTGGCCGCATCACGGCCTTGTTTGGCCGCCTCACCAGCTTCATCATACGCCATGGCTCCATAACGCCTGTTTGCCTGCCATAAATAACATTTTCTATTAAATTAATCCTCATACACGAACGATTATTTGCATGACATTAATTAACTTGCACAATTATAATCAGATGCATAAATTAGACGAAACAATATATAAATTAAAAAAAAAATGCTAATTGTAGAATGAACATTTTCTTTTATTCAAGGTGAGAAAATAATTAAGCTTGAAAATGAGAATTATGTAGGCATAAGAAGAAAATGTACACGGAAATTGGGTGTGTTCGAAACAGGAAAGAAAGCCATTGAGGCGCAAGGTTTGGGCAGGATGAAACTGAGCCTGTTGGCAGCTTGGAGCTTAGTGAGGCTGCTTGTAAATGCCATGCTTGCCATTTTTCTGTCGTTGGTGATTTTGAATTTATGAATTTTTATTTATATATTTTTTACATGTATATATGGATGTTGATGCAGAGAGTGG